CCTTAGACTTTCAACCGTATCATTTAAGGAGATGTCAATTATCAGTAGAACAGGGATGTGTGTTGTGGGGTATGAGAGTGTTAATTCCACAGTGTTTTAGAGGGCAAATTTTGAATGAACTGCATTTTGAACATCCAGGTACAGTCAACCCTCGCTTTACGCGATCCCACTTTACGCGTTTCCACGTTTACGCGGTTCCCTGCCGAAACCGGAATGCTCACTTTCCGCGGTGTGTGTACCCTTTTACGCGGGGAGCGGCGCGAGCAGGGTGCGCACAAGGTCGCCCAGTCATCAAAACATTACCGAGTTCTTCACCTGCCACCCACCACAGCCGGCCCAAGTCAGTGATAGTGATAATGATAGTGAGGATATGGACCTATATGGACTTTGAGGGGTTTGACAAAGAGGCCCTGCAAGCCTCTGTGGTGGATAGTGATACAATTGATACAGGTGAGGGCCAATAATTATCTGCCCTCTGCCTCAGAACCAACCCCCCATCCCCGTGTGCCCAGCCATCTTTTCTACTAATGTAAGTGTTAAAAAACCTAATATTATTGATATTTCTCTTAATTGTTAATTGTGTGTGCATACCATCATAAAATTAAGAAGTTATTTTTACTACAACATAGATATTGTGTCTGAAAAAGTGGAGTTTGGGGGTCGGCCCAGTCTCTATTTCAATTAATCCCATATGTTATGTTGTTCACTTTACGCGTTTCTCACTTTACGCGGGCCGCCGTGGGTTGAATTAACCGCGTAAAGTGAGGGTTCACTGTATATGTGCTATGAAAGCACTGGCCAGAAGTTTTGTGTGGTGGCCTAAACTGGATGGTGAAATAGAAATGATGGTACGTGAGTGCTCTGTTTGTCAGAATGTTAGGAGTATGCCACCCAGCACACCTTTGAAAACCTGGAAATGGCCTACCCGTCCTTTCCAAAGAGTACACATTGACTTCTGTGATAATCTTGAATTACACCAAAAGAACTAAAATTTTATGGGTGAAATGGCACCATGGGATGACTTCTCTTCCACCCCAATGCCTTCTCTTCTCCCTTCTCCTCCACCCCCATTCAAATTCCCATCATCATCATCATCATCCAGGAGCCTTCTACATACACACCTCAAAGTAAGTGTACTTTTCTACCTTTTTTGTTGAATTTAGGCAATTTTCGGTGAGCTGGGACCAATTGCCCAAACACCCATTGAAACAATGGTTTCGGTCAACGAGCAACTTTCTAGAACGGATTGTGCTCGTTAACCGAGGGACCACTGTATATCATATTTGTATCACTATGTTACTTGTGTATTATTTGTAGATCAAGAGACCCACTCCCCAATTATGTAACTGTATATTTTCAGCCTTCCAGCTGCCATGCTCTTTCAATAAACCATTAATAACTAACACACACACGAGGTAGCACAGTGGATCGTGTTTTGAACGGTTATAGTGATGCCAGACGTAAGAGTAATCAAATAAAAAAAATACGAACTTGAATTGGTGAACTAAGGAAAGCTGTTTCAGAAAGTAAAATTGAAAAACATATCATTAAGTTTCAAACCCATGATAGTGCAGCAACAATGTCTGGAAAGTAAAATGGTGCTTAAAAGACATTTCCTAATAGGCTTAAGAGATCAATTACTTACATTCCCTTGTCTATCTCATGGCTCTAATTTATTCATTGATCATGGCTGCAATGCAAGTAAGCTAGCTATACATATGTATGAGGTACTGTTATCTTGCTGTGTATTTTTTAGCAGCAGCACCAGTCGTCATGCAGCTCTTAAAGAAAAGTTGGCACAAACTAAAGGTGCATTGTACAGTAATTTAAAAATCTGTCAAAGACAAGAGGGAGTGCCAGGCCAGAGTCAGTGGATGACTTTTGGAAATCTTATGAAGAGATTTGTGAAGTTTTGGAAGAAATTAGAAATACCAAGAAGAAATATGATTCAGAGGCAAGGACAAAAGCTAATGGTCTCTTATACAAAATTAAGACTTTTGAGTTTATTGTTGCTTTGATGTGCATGAAAAATATTATGTACAAAACTACTAAGCACATGGTAGATGTGTTGTAAACTGTGGATTTAGATGTTTCTGGAGCTCTTATCTCTTTGAAAAGTACATTGAAAATACTTCAGTCAATACATAGTGATGATGGAGGCTGCACTCAACTTTGCAAAAAATTATTGATGTTGCTGGAGAAGAAGCGCAGAAAAGAGTTTTCACCACAAAAAAAAATTAAACAATGAAAATCCAAACTCTAGTGCTCAGTAAAATTTGTACAGTATTCCTATTACTGTATTGTAAGGAAATGAGTACAGTTTTAGATATGATGATTTCTGTGTTGACTTCAAAATGTGAAAATCTGAAATCTTCATTCAAATATTTTGTGGATGTTCTTGATCCTAATGTTGCAGACTTTGACTCAGAAAGCTTTATTGAAGCCATGAAAAATCTGTCAGAAACCTATCCATCTGAAATACCTGACTCTAAATCTTTCAGAGTTGAATCCAAAGTGCTCTACATTCATTTTTCCAAATATGTGGACCAGCATCCTGATGTAGAAAAAACATTCACTCAGCCCCATAATGTGCACAGAATGTTCATAGAAAGTATCATTTATTTCCTCTTGTGGCAAAAGTTTTCAGGGATTCTTGACACCACCACCTTCAGTAGGTAAAAGTGAAAGGTCTTTTAGCAGGCTTAAGCTTTTGAAAACATCCCTGTGAAACAGAACCTCAAAAACCCGGTTGTATAATCTTATGCTCATAGCTTGTGAAAATGACATAACTGATTCATTAGATCTTCAAAAGACTGCAGATAATTGAAAGCTTAACAAAACTAAGAGAATTAAAATATTAGTTTAATTTATATAAATAAGTTAATACTGTTGATTTTATCCAAGCAGTAAATAAAAATATATATATTTATTTTCATTATTTCTTTCTATTTGAATAAAAATTTTACTTTATCCATAAAATTTTTATGATAATGTTCAATAATTCATCATAATGAAAATTTTGTAGCTGGCTCGGTCATTTTTCTTTTAATCCTTATTAGCTGGTCAAATTTGATAGGCTAGGTGACGAGTTGGTAACAACCCTCAACCCCCTCACGCCGCAATCACAACCACTTCGGGCCATCCCTAGGAGAGGGACTCAAGGGTTATACAAGACAATGAGTTCAAGTTTTTCTCTTATAAAATGCCACTGACTTGACTTAAAAGAATATAACTTGCATTGCCGGAATTCTTGTAAGAGAGCAATTAATTTGATTTTAAACATCTCATAGTTTGCACCAGACATAATAATTTTAGTAATTAACTTTGTACATTTGAGTACAGGTTGTGATAATTTATGTGGTTGCTCAGCAGTTGTGGTTGAGGTTTCAAAGCTTCGTGACATCACCAGTGTATAATGAGTCTCCACATGCCCTGGTTTATTCATTGATCAGTTGTCTACGTGCAAAAGAAGCTATATTGAGCCATCATGTATAAATTAATTTTAAAATATAAATCATAGTGTGAAATGTTATAAGACAATGGTTTAGTAGTGCTGTTAATGTGTGTGCTGTGTAAGTGTCTTGGCATGTGACCTCACCTACTGCCCCGTCACCTCACCTACTGCCCCGTCACCTCACCTACTGCCTCGTCACCTCACCACCTGACTTAATACCGCGTTAGCACAGCTCGGAGTTACATTGATTTATTACTGTATTGTTTTACTATTTTAGTATTGTATGTACAGTACATTTAAAGAAATATTTGTTCTACAGTAATTATAAATAGACCCAGAGCAGAAAAATCCAGCATTACCCAAGAGGGTAACCTTTGTCCCCATGCCCGGTGCAGAAAGGTTTGGACTGATTTTCTCACCATTTTCTCAGATTTTCAGGTTATTACTTTATATCATTATTTATCGTTTTTATACATTTAGTACATTCACCGTAGGCTGAAGTAGGTTTTACTGTATCATGTGTCGGAGGTGTCTCTGAAGGTGTGAGCGTACTAACAGAATTCATCTCAATTTAGGTAACTAGTTCACTACATCGAGGGAAAAATAACAGAAAAGATGCCTTCTGCTAAATCAAGGGTTCGTTATATCGGATGCTGTTAAATCAAGAGTATTCACCCACCTCTTGTTTTACATGGAGGTTACGTTCTTGTAAACCACCGCTTAATTAAAAAATGTGTAAATTAAACATAATTTTCCCATAAGAATACATGTAAATGGTACAGGTTAGGGGAACCATCATATACCACACAGGGTACGAACAGTGCTCACACCTAAACAAAGCAAACCTCCGACACACGCTCTCCTCTCTGAAGGCGGGTGATCACATTTAATTTCAAGTTCATTGCGATTGTTTTTGTGCCTCTTTAGCTTTAGGTGCCCCAGAGGAGGCAGATGGACGTTTTCCAGACATGCTCAATGGGGAAAACGGCGTTTAACACTAAAGGGTACGTGTTAAACACACAATGCAAATGAGAGCACAGAGAAAAAGTAGTGCCGGTGTGAACTGAGAAAGTGATCCGCTGGAAGCTTGCTGGACGTGGTCACAGTTGTTGTACAGAATACTTCATTGTCATCATTATCTTCATCATTAGTAGTAATAATCTTTATTATTACATTATTATAATAATTATTATTATTAATAAAAATATTAAAATCATTAATGTTGATATGACTGAGACTTTATAGTAATAACTTACAAGCACCTCGCCAGGCATCACACGCTACTCCACTGCCAGGCAACCAGGAGAATACACACAGCAAATTTAAACTGTCTTGAGCGCGTTATTTAAAAAATAGGTGCGCGTAAATTAGCTTTTGGTATTATTGAACAATCGCATACTGTACTGTACTATACTGAACTGTACAGTACTACTAAGCTGTAACTTATTAGTAATGGTCTGATAATACAACTAACATTTTTATGTAGTTATTTATAAAAATATGTCATTTGTATACACAACACAAAAAAAAGAACCATACTACTGGAGTATTAAAAGGCTTGCTGTAATATATTTCTTGTACAGTAATGATGAAAATTTTAAAATATTGTACAGTAATGTGCAACAGACAGTGAATAAACTTTATATTTTGAGCCTTGCCAATATATTAACAACTTCTGGTATAGTAAATGATGTTTACTTTCCTACACTTAAAGTGGACTTTTCAACACATGCAGAAGACCTTCAGGGGTTGGCGAAGGACATATTCCTGACACTGGGATATTTTGCTGAACTAAAGCAGTATTAGTTGTTGGTCCTATAGCAACCATCTTGACACCTGTTATATCTACACTCAGGGACTTAAGGATAGATAAGGTAAAATTTACACCAGATGGGCTGAAAAACACCATATATGTAGGTAACTGGCCAGTAGAAATCAACTTTTGTATGACTGACTTGAGCTGTGGGTGCTGTGAAGTTTCATACACTGTGAGAGCCCTAAAATCTCGATCATGTTTCACAAGTAACTTGGGTAACTCATCTCTTCCTAAATTGCCACACGGATACAAGAGAGGTTTGTCAAAGGCTTCAGTCTCCTTTATTATGATTGGTGCAAGTTGTTGTGCATTTCCTGACTCTTGTCCTGTATAGCTTAGCTTCAATAGTTTCTGAACAGCACTGCCAGTAGCTTCTCCTATAACAAAAATCTTCTTCTCACTCCATGTATGATGACAGCTGACACTCAACGTTGAATAAATCTCAGCAACTGCCTCTACTGCCCTCTGACTTGTAAAGATAATTCCACTGTGGTTTTGGGGAATTTGTAGTGCATTCTTCAAAGGTACTTGATTACAAAACTGGAAACTGAGGACAGGAACATGTACTGGTGAGAACCCAGATGCAGTAAGAATGCTGATGTATTGACTGTTACTCTCTTCACATGACTTGAACAGCCACACAGTACTCATACTGCTAATTCTCTCAGTCTGAAAGGAAAAAAAATATAAAGGTAAATTTATTAAGACATGGAATAAAATGTTAAGACTTTATTGAGTAGAAACAAGAGTGTTGTTGGTGAGCCATGAGTGAGAAATGACTGTGGTTGTTGATAACAGGGAAATATAGGATACCCGGAGAAAATACAGTGGTCCCTCGGTTAACGAACACTATTGGTTCCACAGCGCCGTTCGTTAACCGAAAATTTCGTTAACTGAATCTATTATTTCAATGGGATATTGGGTAATTGGTTCCAACTCACAGAAAAAGTACATACAAAGTACTGTATACCGGTAATAGAATTAACAAAACATTAAATATACAGTACAATCAGTTCTGCTATAATGCGATTGTTGTGTTCTTGTAAAACATTGTGTTATAGAAATTTGCGTAATAGAAATAACAGGGCTTATGGAGAAAATAGGGTTAGGTGCAGATTACTACTCGAAATAAAAAAAAATTTAGTAGTTAGCCTAACACAAAGGATAGCACAGTCTAAATAAATGTTACATTCATATCTAATAATGAAATCATACAGTAAATGTAACACTTTACCTTGAAAAAATATGAATATAACTTGATGGGGGAGAAGGGTGATTTTGAGGTTGATAACATCAAGCTTCTCTTCAAGTGTTATAGCCTTTCTTTTACGATCATCACCAGGAATGCGATCACCAGAACGCTTCTTGGAGATATTCTTCTTTACCATATTCACAGTTAATACCACAAAATTGGAGAAATAGTAAGCAAAAATCGCGTTACAGCAAACAAGCGTTCGCGTTATACAAATATCGTTCCTCTATTCATAAATCGCGTTAGAGCCAATTCGCGTTGTCAAAACACACGTTATAGCAGAACTCACTGTAAACTAAATACAGTACAGTACTATACTGTACAGTATACTGTATAATAATAAATAAAAAACAATAGAATACTGTATTTTAACTTATTTTGAGATGTGTATGTCGTATTCCCGGCAGCTTTATTTACATATCAAACAGCAGATTGTAGAGGCAGTCGATGATGACATGCCATATTTTTTACAGAGTGCATTGGTTCTAATGCCTTCTTCATTTTTCATAATAATTTCTGCACTGTATATTATCAATATGTGAACTAAATTTTAGAATGACCAATAATTTTAATGTAAAAATGCAAAAATATTCAAGAGACCAACAAAATCGATGTTCACTCCACTGTATATAAAGTTAAACTGAGAAGCGTTGTTGGGTGAGTCCATCAGCTGATGGGCACACAAAAACTGTTCCCTGTACTGTATATATTATCAATATGTTAACTAAATTTCAGAATGACCAATAACTTCAATATAAAAAATGGAAAAATATTCAAGAACACAACTTTCTTGACATTTACTCCACTTTGTTGGGCTGATGCGCCCAACAAGGCGTGATTCTCGTAAGGATTTCGTTAATCGAAGTTTTGTTCGTTAATGGAATTAAAAATCCTTATGGGAGCCAATTCGTTAACCCAAATTTCATTAATTGGACCGTTCGTTAATCGGGAACCACTGCATTATGATTGATCACTGAATGAGGAGTACGAATGGTATGGGCAGCCTAGAATTGAAAGAGGATGGGTGAAGAAAGGAAAGGCGGCTGGAAGCTCTGGGATCAGCAGTTACAGAAATGTTGACAGCATCAGGGGATGTAGATGTGTCAATGGTGACTGAACTGACAAATGTAATCATGAGGAAATGTACTGTTCCAGACAACTAGAGGAAGAGTGTGATTGTGAACACTTACAAGGGTAAAGGTGATGCACTTGAGCATTGTAACTACAGGGGCTTGAAGCTGCTTGCTCAGATTAGGAAATTTGTAGAAAGAGTGGCAATATATAGCCAAGCAACTACAAGAGCAACATCTAGTGAAAGAAAAAATTGCACTGTCTACTATTGTATAGTATTTCTATACTTAGAGAAGACATTTGACAGGGTATATACCACGTGAAGTAGTAAAGCGGACAATGAGAAAGTTAGGAGTCTAGGAGGCAGACAGTCCGAAAGTGAACTTGGCAAAAAAAAAGTAGTCTCTCCTCGACTTACGACAACCCGGACATATGACCGCCATGGTTGTATAAAATATTTTTCACATTACGTATTTTCGAGTCCCGACGTTTGGTCATAATGTGACGCCGTACGATAGCTTGGGCTGCGCCGCCTTGTGGTGTACAGCATCCACGCTGTAGCCCGCCAGTTGGAGTTTGGCCGTCATTGCTGTTAGTGATCGCGTTGTGTACTGACAAAATTTTTGTTTGTAATTTCCTTTAAAATGGCTGGCAAGTGTAAAAGTGAGAGTTCTGGTGGTGCTGAGAAGAAAAAGAGACAGTCAATTACTTTTGAGATGAAAATGAAAATAATTATGCAATATGAAAATGGAAAACGGTAGCAACCATTTCATGCGGTCTTGGCTTCTCTCACTCGACGATATCAACAATTTTGAAGGAGAAGGAACGAATTCATGAGGTAGTGAAAGGATAAGCACCTATAAAGGGAACTATAATAACGAAGAAAAGACAAGGTCCATTCACGAGATGGAAAAATTACTTGTGATGTGGATGGAAGATCAGATACAAAAGCCTGTACCCTTAAGCCTTCTAACCATACAGGCTAAGGCAAGAAGCCTTTTCGAAAGCCTGAAGGAGCAGGCAGGAGATGAGTGCGACCAAACCTTCACGTGTCATCGTGGAGGGAAATTATTTGCCTGAGCAAATATTTAATGTGGATGAAACTGGCTTATGCCAGAACGGACATACATCCACAAAGAGGCGAAAACCATACCGGGATTCAAGGACCGAATTACACTTCTGTTGGCGGGGAATGTAGCTGGTTTCAAGGTAAATCCCTTCATGATATACCATTCAGAGAACCCAAGGGCTTTTAAAAATGTCAGCAAGCACACACTGCCAGTGTTTTATAGCAGTAATAAGAAAGCCTGGATGACCATTGTACTGTTTGAGGATTGGTTTCCAAGTTGTTTCATTCCACGAGCCAAGGAGTATTGTCTGCAACAAGGTGGTTGTGTTCAAGATTTTATTAATTTTAGATAATGCTCTGGGACACCCACCACACCTGGACGACCTGCACCCTGTTGTTAAGGTAGTCTACATTCCACCTAACACTACCTCTATCAACCAACCCATGGATCAAGGTGCTATTGCTGCTTTTAAAGCATATTATTTACGTACAACCTTCGCTCAGGCTGTTGCTGCTACTGAAGGTGAGAAAACGCTCGGAGAGTTTTGGAAGGAGTACAACATTTTGCAATGTATAAAGAACATAGCTGCAGCATGGGATGAGGTTACAGGTCAGTGCATGAAAGGAATATGGAAGAAGGTCCTGAAAAGATGTGTGAAGTTTCAAAGGATTTAATGAAGATGAAAAAATTTCTGAGATTAGTTACAAGATAGTGGAGTTGGGTAAACATCTGGAGTTAGAAATTAATAATGAAGATGTTGAGCAGTTGGTGGAAAGTGTAGCAGAAAAGCTAAGTAACGAAGATCTTATTGAATTAGATGCACAGAAATTTGCACAGGAAGAAGAGAGACAAAATGTAGAAGAAAAACCTGCACCCCCAAAAAAGTTTTCAGTAAAACAAATGGCAGAGGCATTTGCTACTATTAATAAGGGGATGCAAATATATGAAGAAATGAATAAAAATGTTGAGCGTTTTGCAAAAGTTGACAGACTGATCCAAGATGCACTTGCTTGCTACAGGGAGATTTACAATGAAAAGAAAAGGCAAACTGTACAGTCTAAATTGGACTTATATTTTAAGAAGTCCCCCACTGCTGGCTCCTCATGCCCCACCAGTGCTGCCTCTTCACTCCCTAAAGATGATCCAATACCTTCAACCAGCAAGTATGTTAACCTGTCTGAAGAAAGCGACCTTGATGACCCACCCAGCCCTGTCTCCTCCTCTGCTTCATCCAATTAATGTAGTCTCCATGCTTAATTAAAAAATTATTGAGACCGTGTGCATTTAGCTGACTACATTAAAGGTAAGTGCACAGTAACACTTTATTCATTCTTCATTACTGACTACTTTTACTGTACTGTATTTCATTTTAGAATTTCTATGTATTATTTTCGCTTTTTCGACTTATGACCAATTCGACTTACGGCCTGGTCGTCGGGACGGAACCCCGTCGTGAGTCGAGGAGATACTGTACAGTATTGATTAGTGGTGTGGGTGAGGGATCCATAGTGGAAAATGCTAAGTGCTGTCGATAAGATAGGTGTTGGCAGCAACTCAATAATGTACAGCGAGTGTGGAAGGTGGGTACACAAGAGGTGCAGTGGAGTAGATGGCTGACTGCAAGATGTTGCTGACATTTACCGGTAAGTGTTTTGTATGTGCAGGTAATGTGCTCTTAAAGTCAGCAACACCTTGCAGTCTGTGACCTGGTGTAATGGTCAGCATGCTTGCAAGTGAGTGGTCCCAGGTTTGATTCTCAGGCAGGATGTATCTATGGGCAAGTTTATGCCATTTGGCTCTGTCTACCCAGCAGTAATTGGGAACCTAGATGTTAATTGATTTTCGGATCGTGTTCCGGGGTAATGGTTAGTCAGTGCAGTTGGCGAGTTGTCCGGTCTTCTCAGACTATTCCTTGACATTGGGCCATACAACTTATTAACTTAGGGTTTGGTTGTTGTGTTGGCGACAACTTCTACACCTTAAACAAATTCATGCCGAGGTGGCCTTTGGGCAGAGTAGTGAAAAGTACTGGACTTTGTTACTTAAGTAAAAGTATTGTTACATTGGCAAAATGTTACTCAAGTAGAAGTAAAAAAGTATCTCATTCTTCAAGTACTCAAGTACTTAAAGTAAAAAGTAACAAAAAATTTATCATTTGTCTCAAATATTAAAATATATCCACAGTAAATTATAAAAAATTTGTTAACTAAAGATAAAAATAAGAGACACAGCATTACACATGTTTAATTGCAAATCTTTCTATTAATATTAATCAATAACTGATCCTCAAAATTATGGTTGTCCAA